GCAGATGCTCTCACACCAACCTGCTGCCATTCCTGAGCAAGCTCTGCACTGCTGGTGACACGATTCCGTAGCTGACCCTTTAGGAGGAGACGGTCCTGGTGCTTGCTGGACACTCTGGGATATCCTGAAGACTTCTTCACTGCAGTCAAACCTCTCTACTTGAAGTTCTTGATGATCCGGTCAATGGTTCTTTCAGGTGCAATATTCTTTGTAGCAATTTCCTTGCATGTGAGGCCATTTTGATGTAAAGCGATGATGGCTGCACGTGTTTCTTTGGAGGTAAACATTGCTAACAAGAATACAATGATTGTAAGCACTTCTTCCCTCCTTTTATAGCAATCAGTCTGCTCTTACAATCTATTTAGTATGATAGTTATTTGACCTGACTAGTACTCATTCACACTTTCACGTGTGTTGCTGATATGATTAATCAATTAATGTTAGCTAGTCATTCTGTGTCAGGATCAAAAAACAGTGAAATTTGTTTTTTTGTGAAAGTTCATTTTTTGGCCAATGAAGCTTTTAGCAATTATTTAAAATGCATCTGATCACTCTACACAATAATCTAGAAACAATGTGAATGAACACCACAACAGCTTAAGCTGCAAACTTTGCAAAACACAAAATGTATGCCACTGCCAAAACTTTTGGCCATGACTGTACAGTAAGTGTTAACAGGGATGTAAATGGCATATTTGCATTTAAAGGGTTAGTTCACCCAAAAATGATAATTAGCCTGTGTTTTACTCACCCTCGAAGCATCCTAGGTGTATGTGACTTTTTTCTTTCAGACGAATCCAATTGGAGTTATATTACAAATTGTCCTAGCCCCTCCAAGCCTTATAATGGGGGTAAGCGGGTGTTCGGTTGTCAACAGTTCAGAAGACGTATTCATATTTCAAACATAATAAACACTTTTCTCTCACTTGCGGTATTCTGTCATATGCGGAAGGCATTACGGCGGATGACGAAGGACATCAGCGTTGCGTGATTAGTGACTAGGTGATTAGTAGCGGAGAGAGAACAAAACAAAATGCCGGTTTTGTTTCAATTCGATTTCAATATAAGCCAAGAAGAGACTGGTTTTCCAAAGTAAGGAAACTTTGTTTCCTTTGCTCCTGCATTTCTCAGAGGCGCGCGCACGACACCTACGTCATCCGTCTGCATGTCTTCCACGTACAGTCAGCGGAAGTGAGAAAAAAGTGTTTATTATGTTTGAAATATGGAAATTTATCTTACAAAAATGCATGGATTCACTACAGGAGGGACATTTTATTTAGGGCTGCACGATTAATCGAATGCGATTGTCATGTGCATTTTGTTAGTAAAGCCGGTTCTGTAATCATCAGTAAGTCATCATCACGTGCTTTCAGATGGAGCAGCATTTACTACACAGAGCCGTAGTTCACTGACAAGCTACGCAAAAAAATCGCAGACGATTTTGTTGCGCGATTCTGAAATCAAAGAAATCGTTCGTGATAATGACAGCTCTTTGCATAGCTTCTCAGTGAACTACGGCTCTGTGTAGTAAATGCTGCTCCATCTGAAAGCACGTGAAAATACCACATTTAATAAAATTTTTACTCAAACTCATAACGTCAGTCAAGTGTTTGAAATAAATCCTTCTGTGAGATGATGTGGCTTCTTCATCGTGCAGGCCTAATTTTATTACAGATGCACGCACTTTATTTCACGTCTTCTGAACTGTTGACAACAAACAGTATACAATTATAAAACTGTAATTTACAAACAAGAAAATTTGAATGTAAACCAGTAAATTTCAAATGTGGAGTGTCATGCAGGGAATTCTGGGCATATCAGTTTACAGTTTTGACTGTAAATTATACATTGATTTGTTATTTTTACTTCTAACAACTGTAAAATTAACAGCATTTTACTGTAAAATTACATGAAATGTCTGGTTAGATATTTTACAGTTTTTCCCTCCGCTGGGGTTTTGCATATAACAAAATTAATAGTGTCTTTGTCACTCAAATCGTTTCTCGTCACTATTCGAGATTTTGAATATTGTTTCCCCCCAGATAGTAGGGAAAGACCGAGAGGATAGAAACCAAACAGATCGCAAGTTTCTGAGTCTGTACAAAGCTCATGAATATTTAATGAGGTAAACATTGAGACAGATTGTGATAGGTTGTCCTTTGCTAACTCACATTGCCTAGCACAAAATGCGTTAGGATGGCGTTGAAAACATTTTTTTTTCTTTAAATATTGTTTGTAATGATGTATCCAGATATTCCATCATAAAAGTTTTAGAATTGCCATTAAATTTCTTATACATTTCTGGCACCTTTTTCTATTCTAAAATTCACTTTTGATGAAAATACAAATCGATTAGAGGATGGAAACCAAACAGTATGAAAGTTTCTGCGTTTGTGCGAAGCTCATGAATATTAAATGTGGTAAACACTGAAGCAGTTTGCGATTACAAACTGTTTTGATAAAGAATTCGTTGTAACATTCCCTAGCACTAAATGCGTTAAAATGACATTAAACAATTTTTTAAATATTTGTTGGCAAAGAAGGCATATTCAAATATTACAACATACGTTTTAAGAATTGCCATTGACGTGTTTGGTACCCTGTAGCTCCTAACCTAAAATTCACTTTTAATGAAAATTAAAATCAAGTGCAGATAAAATGTATTTAAAGGGGTCCTATTATGCTTTTTCACTTTTTCAACTTTAGTTAGTCTGCAATGTTGCTGTTTGAGCATAAAAAAGATCTGCAAAGTTACAAAGTTCAAAGTCCACTTCAAAAGGAGATATTTTATTTAAAGGGGTCATATGATGCGATTTAAATTTTTCCTTTCTCTTTGGAGTGTTACAAGCTCTTGGTGCATAAAGAAGATCTGTAAAGTTGCAAGGACTAAAGTCTCAAATCCAAAGAGATATTCTTTATAAAAGTTGAGTCAACCACGCCCACCTAAAACGGCTCGTTCTAACACGCCTTCACATGTCTACGTCACGAGGTGGGAAGATTTGCATGACGCCGCCCAAATGTTCACGCAAAGAAAGAAGGCGTAGCTTTTATTCTCACTGTAGTATTGTTGTTGCCGCCACCGCCATGTCGTGAAGGCACTGTATGTTTCGTTGTGAAAGCGAAACTACTTTGTTTGGCCTTCCAAAAGAGGAC